ATGCCTTTCTTCCATGTGGAGTTCATGGAATGATTAGCACAAATCATAAGTTTACCCATGCTGATCAAATTGGTCTATAAACCAGAAATGAGTTCGGGAGCGAGGGTACTAAGATAACGTTCCTTTTAGAGGGGAATCGTCATCCTAGCCCTAGTACGGCCTCTACTGGCTCTTGCTTTTTCACAATTTCATCACCAAACAATATATGCAACGCAATACCTAAAACTATATTAGTTGATTTTATTTACAAGCATTAATTCACATAGGAATTACATTGCAAAAGTCGTTATTCTTATTTAATAATATTCGTGAAAGAACAATAAATAAAAAAGATTCGCCATGGCTTAAGTGATCAACCAACAACTATTTAATTCAATTCTAATCTTTATTTAACGCAAGATACTATATGGAATTGATTAATTAATTATTTTAAAGGTGATCAAACAACACTAATTAATTAATTAAAGTCCTTTTAAAAAAGAAAATAAAGGTGATTTAACAAAGTGCTCGGGAATTTACCACTTCTCTTTTCTAGATCTCCGTTTAGAACACTTATGGACACCTTCTTGTTGGGGAACCTCCATCGTAGTAACAAAATATCGAAAGGGTGAGTGTTTAGGACAAGAGGGCTAGGTTGCACAAGTTCACAAGTTATTTCGCCAGAGTTTTAGGTTAATTTCTGTCTATTGAAGCCTCGGTTTAAGCTCGTATTTATAGGGAATGATTAGGTTTAGGGTTTTGAGCAAACTGCCGCAGCAGGTGTCGCGTGCAACAGATGAAGTTGTGCGCGGTATCCCAGTGCAGGTTATAGAGTTGCGCTGCTATGTGCAACACAACTTTTTGTCTTGCGCGCGGCTTTATGGTAAGATTCGATTTTATATTTTCCGTATAATTTCCGAATAATTAAAAATCTTCCGCAGCGCAACTCTGAAAGTTGTGCTGGGTGTCGTGCACAACTGAAATAGTTGCGCGCGGCAGCCCACCGCGACATTGTGAGATGCGCGCGGCTTTTTCTGCGGCAACACTAAGTTTTAACCTAGGCGCTCCTAAATCCTTCATTATTAGGGTTTAAGCACGGGCTTAAACCTAATTATGATCGGGTTTAGTTAGTTGGACCTTTGTTTTGGTTTTTTCTTTAATTTGGGCTAGTCTTTTGTGGTTTGTGGCTTAACCAGTTATCCATAAGTATTCTTCACTTTGATCCATCACGAAGATGGCTTTATTTATCGTCATTGCACTTCCTGTCGAGACAGGAGGCCAAAAGTAGATGTCTACAATTATGCCACGTGACAGCACCTAATTGATATATATTTTTTTAATTATTTCATTAATTATAAAAAATTAAGAAAAAGATCTTTTAGAAATTTTTTTTTTTTAAAAAAAATACCACTCCAAACACACCCAACCAGCCACCTTAGCTTCCCATTTTTGTTTCCACCCTCGCTAACACCGGCCATCCCCTGGTCACCAACATTAGGCTTTCCTGACACCAACCAGACCCCTGCTCCCTCCCCTACATACGCCGACCACTTGCAGTAGTGCTTGCCGAACCGCCATCAAACACCCCACACCATTTTTCCACCTTATAGTCGAACATTACTAAAGCACTACGGCAAAAAACCTTCACCGGCAGTCCATTAACCCTCCTCCATGTAGCCGCCACATACTTTAGTCGAAACCACCACCTCGAAACCCTGAAATCGAAACCCTAATAATGAAAATCTAGGATTTCAATTGGGGGTTTTTAATTTTAAGGTTTTAGCGTGGTGGCTCTTGGGGTGGAGATAGCAGGAGGAGGGGCGGTTTGGGTTCGCTGGTGCGGGGATGAGAGTTTGGATGTCAGCGGTGGGGAAGGGAGGGGTTTTCAACGGAGATGGCAGGCGGAGGGGAGCCGCGCGGCTAGAGGGGTGAGATGGCAAAGGGAGGGGCACCGGCTAGTGGGGTGTCAGGTTCAGGGTGGCACCGGCGCAGATTGCTCCGTGGACACCTGCGCCGGCGGGGAGTGGTGGGGATAGGGTGGTGGCAGGGGCTGGCTGTGGTGGGTAGTTTTATTTTAATTTTATTTGATTATTTTTTTTATAGTTAAATGTATAATTATTATTTAAAAATTAAAAAACGTATAAATCCTACCGCGTGGCTATTTTTAGCCCTAGTGACTAACGGATTTAACATCCGTTAGTCATTTGGGCATTAAGTGACATTTTTGTTAAATTCAAGGGTATATGGTAAATTTTAAAAATTACATGGGTATTTAGTGAATAAAAAAATAACTTAGGGGTATTTGGTGAAATATCCGTAAATTTTAATTTGGCTTAAAGATATAAAATGACTTAAGAACTTATATAATGAGAAATTAATACTTTGTAAGTGTAATGGCACAATATGAAAAATGATACACAAGCAAGAATGATGACTTGATAGTGACCCAATAATAAGGTATTAACTCAATAATTACTTAGTTTAAAAATGGCTTCATTTGAATATTGAATTTGGTTTACTCGGCTAAAATTCAGCAAAACACAAGAAATATCTAAATCGGAATTGACCCAATAGTACTATCGTAGTTAAACCGAACTTAAGCGAACCGAAGAAACGGAACCAAAATCAACCCCACCCAAAGTCACCCAACCGAAATTAACCCAGTCAAACCCTTTTTGAACTTGATGATCCGACCCAACTCGACATACCTTGACCCGAAATTGTCTCGACTTAACCCGATGCGGGACAAAAGGGTAACCTTGATCCGAACATACTCGAAACGAACATACTCGACTTGTTGTGGGTCAACCCAAACTCCATCAACTTATCCGAATTGACACCTCTACACCTAATCCTAGTTTGAGAGGAAAAAGTGGGATAATGGAATTATTTCTATTGTTGAAGCAATTCAATCTCATAGTTAAGAATATTACAACAGAACTCAAGAAGCAAATATAGCAATTTTATTTGGCTCATCTATAATAATATTATTGAAACACAAAGGGACAAGATGCTACCGTCATGTGTCACCATTCCTTCCATATGACTTGAGGCCACATCAGCACTATGTGTCACCTTATAATGCAACTACTCAATAATTGCACATTAAGACAATAATAACACACTAATGGCTGTGTGATTCCTTGAATGCTAAATTTAATACCATTCAAGCAATTGAACAAAGTATTATTTCGTATTATTTAAATACTATTCTTAAATTTATTATTAGTATATGTTTATTCATTTATAAATATTGTTGAACACTGACCTTTTTTATTTGCTATATTTTTTATTATAAACTTACAAGTTTATAGTAATTTGGGGTAACGCTTGGACCAATAATTGGTTATTAATTCAAATATAGTTAATGAAAAATTAAATAATATAGAAAAACTATCAAGCTACTTCGAATAATAGTAGATTTATAATCATGTATCAACAGAAATTATACTAAATTGATATCATAAGACTATACATAATGACAAATATATCAATATTATTTCACATGACTATATATATACTATCGTCATTCTGAAAGTTCGACCCACTTATTATTCATGTAATCAAAAGAAAATAACTTTCACTACATTCTATGATTTATACATTAAAAATAAATTAGAACGGGATATTTTAATAGATTCCCCTTATTATAAATTTTGTAAATATCAACTTTTTATAGTTTTCATTTATAAAAATCCGATCGAAGATATTCATGGCTAAAGTTGTTCATGGAAGACCGGACAAATGCAAAGTGAGTCAAACTTTCAAACATAAGGAATGTGTATAATTGTATGTATTACGAGTAATGATCATTTTTTGTCAAAGATTTTTAAAGTTTGACCATGAGAACTTAAAATAGGAACAACAAAAAGAGACCAAGGGAGTACCTATTGACTTAATTTTTTATTTTTTTTTTAAATTATGAAATCTATATACTACGTATTAAATGATAACATCAATAATTTTATGACTGATATAGAAATTTAAATTAATGAAAAAAAAGATATCAAATATAAATAATGATGTAACACCCCCAAATAACTCTCTAATAATTAAAAATAATAATCCAAATTTAGGGAGTAACTTAGGAGTATTACCGCCACATGATTACGTAGGGTTAACAGAGTTTTGCAGCGGGAAAATAGTACTTATCTTTTATTAACAATAATAGTAATAGTACTAAGACGCTTCCAAAGTAACTACAAAAGTAACTACAATACTAATACTATGTTAACTAAATTAAACTAGGTGATCACCGCCCATCGTTCCCAATGCAGCATATAGTTTACGTTGTCCGATCGCCATCACCTATCTTCTACTCATCAAAATGATAATTAGTGCCAAGCCAAAACAAAACAAATATGTATTAGCCAAAATGCTACACTAGTGGAAAAAAGGTTATTCGTAACGGGCAAAAAGGGCCCATCCGTAACGGGCGGCGTCCGTTACGTATGCGGCCGTTACGGATGGTCATTGTTATTCGTAACGGGCACTGTCCGTTACGAATAACTCATTATTCGTAACTGACATTTCAAATGTCCGTTACGAATAACCCCTTATTCGTAACTGACGTTTCAAATCTCCGTTACGAATAATGGGTTATTCGTAACGAACATTTCAGATACCCGTTACGAATAAGGCCTTTATTGTATTAAAATAAGTCCTTATTCGTAACAGGCGTTTCAAACGCCCGTTACGAATAAATGATTATTCGTAACTGACATTTGTAATGTCCGTTACGAATAAAGTTTTATAGTATACAATTAAATACTTATTTGTAACGGGCAACAAAAATGACCGTAACGAATAAGTGGTTATTTGTAACTGACAACTCTCCTGCCCGTTACAAATAATCATTAAATAAAATTTTTTTTATTAAATTTTGGCAGCATGTATTTATATATAATTAATTTATATTAATTAAAACCTGTTATAATAAACCTGTTCCTGTAAATAAACAATTATACCGAACAATCTTTCATAAAAATTAATACAACGTATTATAAAAATTGAAGTAGTAATACATTACAAATAAAAACTTGTATAAATTTATCCAACACATACAACAACACTAATAATATTACTTTGTTCTACCTAAGCTAATAGTTATGCATTCAATAAATATTTACTTCTAAAGTATTGCGCCCACAGTTCTCGAACCACATTCAACTCGTCAACATCATACGGTGCTGTCCTTTGACAAAAATCCTATTGAAAAAAAAACATATGAATAAGGTTACAAAATAAAAACAATCCATAATAAAAACAATTATTAGAATAAATGTGATGGTCCAAATTAAAGAAATAAAACTCAAAATATAGAAATAAAACACATAACAACCTTAATTAACTTACATTTTTATTTCTATGAATTGAAATCAATGAAAAGTGAACATTTACTTACTTTTGGGAGCGTATAGAGCCCAACAGGCTTCAAAATTGCCTATCAGACTTCTATCTTTCTCATCTTTCATGTATTGGTCCAAATTAACACAATAAAACACATAACATCCTTAATTAACTTATATATTGATTTCTATGAATTGAAAAAAATGAAACGTGAACATGTACTCACTTTGGGAGCGTATAGAGCCAAAAATGCTTCATAATTGCCTAAGGGACTTCTATCTTACCCATCTATCATGTATTGTTCCAAATTAACACAATAAAACACATAACATCCTTAATTAACTTATATTTTGGTTTCTATGAATTAAAATCAATGAAAAGTAACCATTTACTCACTTTTGAGAGCGTATAGAGCCAAAAAGGCTTTAAAATTTCCTAAGGGACAGAAAGGTGCCAGTTACGAAATAAGTATTTATTTGTAACGGACACCTTACTTGCCCAATCAACAGAACTTCGTAAAAGCAAGACTAAATTATAACCAACTTCAATCTCATATTAACATTGAAGAGTCTATCAATCTTTGACAATTTGTAAATTATAACTAACGTAATCTAATTGCTTAAATATAATTACCATGTGTCCAAATACCACTTTCAAAGATGAATAACATGAGTATATGTAAATGTACAGTTTATATCAACATATTACTCAAATGATCAAGCATTCATTCATTTTACCCACTAGATACATACCAAATCAGCAGTGGGAAAATTAAATATAAAGGGAAAAAAAAGGTGATTCTAAAACTCCTAAATACAGCCTTAATTAACATATATTTCTGAACAAGAAGTTGAACCACTCAGTCCACCAAAAATCCTCTTCATCAAGAAAAAGGGTAACACACATGCAAGGCATCAAGGAAATTGACTTTGGTAACACTTCCCCTATCTTAAGCTTTCTACTATGTGATAAGTAGAAGCAAGAGGTAGATGGTGCATATAAACCATTATATAGGTCAAATTTAGCCAAGCCCATTAAACAACTCAGGAAATTAGCAATAAACAGAAAAGGCCTGAAATGAACTGATCAGAACTGAAATTTCAGAAGTGATCAGAACTGATCGAAACTGAAATTTCAAAACTGAAATTTCAGAACTGATCAGAACTGATCAAAAATGAAATTCCAGAACTGATCAGAACTGATCAAAACTGATCAGAAATAAAATTTCATAATAGATCAAAACTGATCGGAACTGAAATTTCAGAACAGATCGAAACTGAAATTTCAGAACTGATCGGAATTGATCGGAACTAATCCGAACTGATAAAAAAAGACCTAGCTGTCTTTTCTTCTTTATCATACCCACTTGCACAAATTTTCTATAAGTTTGCTTATCTTATTAACATGCTCTGCCAATTTTCACAACTTCATCCAATAATCTAAAATGAAGTAGTCAATGATAACACACTAATATAATAACTCACCTAAATAGACTGCAACATATGGAAAGCCGATCATCAAAAATTTCGCGAACCATGTCAAAAAAAGGAAAACGAAATGTTAACATAGTTATTGGCCATTTTCTGTAAGATCATGCTCACCAGTGTAGTTGATACAGCTCCACAGACGAGAGTTCTTCCATATTTCCAACCCTCTCTTCATCCTCTACATTTCTATACCAAAATTTTCTAAATTCCAATTAAAAAAACTTACCCATTTTTCAAACATGGCATCAAAGAGGTCAAGGACGATTCTTGGGAGGAGTTCTAGTTCAAGTAAACAATATGATCTGGAATTGCAACTTTCGCAATGGCCAACCATCTGAATTGCAACCCGGGAGCAAAAAGAACGGCTTGAGCAACTCTACGGGCGAGAGGTAATCCCTTCACGGTGGTTACACCGCCCTACTATTGAATCTTATGGTTTATATGATTATGTTAAACGTTTCTTGAACGATATTGGAATGAGGATATTTGTTGATATGCACTATCCTACTTATTGTGAATTAACGTGTGAATTTCTTTCCTCTTTGTCTGTTGTGAACAATAAAAATGGGCCGAAATTGATGTTTAGGTTAAATAATAGGAATATTATTTTAACCTTTGTTGATTTTTGTAAATTTTTTTATTTGAATTCTGAATTACCTATCCAATGCCATGAAAAATATTAAATGGAATATATCTATCATGTTTTGACTGGTTTACCAGTACCTAACGCCAAACATTCTAGTGCCAAATCTATCCATCACCCTGTACCTAAAATCTGGCAAAGATTTGCATGTGTTTATTTTCTAGGTAGGAATGAGCCGCATAACGCCCAAACTAATGAACTAGTTGTAATTGGACATTATGTGTTTGGGTACGGTAAACTGAACATTGCTAGATACATCGTCTTTCATCTTAGTAGACATGCCTCGGCTAGTAACCATGCCACTACCCCAATCCGTCTAGGAGGCCTAATTACTAGGAAAGCTGTTAAGAAGGTCGGGTTTGTTGAGAGTGGACCTCACAGTCTCACTTAATGTGGACCAGACACCTACATGACTATTAGGTACCTTGAGAATTTTGATTGCGTACGTTTGGATAGCCAGCGAGTCCTTGTAAGGAATATTTCAAGCATTACCCCAAACTTGAATCCCATTGTGATCATACACTAAATCATGGTGGCGTCCAAAAGGAAGAAAGTTAGAGCAAAAGAGTCGCCAACAAGTTTTAGGAACTTGTAAACCATTCACAGGGTGAAGGTTACACCCCTTAACGATATAAGAGATCGTTAACTCCAATAGGTCTGGAACCATGACTGGAAGTTCGGGGATGAAGGTACAAATCAAATCTAAAAGTGAAAGAACCTGCCCTAATAATAGGCCTCTACTTTATTCTTCTCGTATTCATGTGCGCTTTCTGACTAACATGCAATCAATAGGTTAACCCTAAACCTGTTTATCTATGCTGGTTGAATATTAATGCACAATGTTTCGGGGTTTTCTGATGTCCTGCGGGAGAGTTACAATTCCGAGACTGGAACCGGACGCCTGTACCTGCAAAATAACGGAGACTCCTGAGAGCTCCGCCTCCAACGGTCAAGTTAGTACCTGATTAAGGAGTAATCAATACAGAAATTAAAGTAATGAGGTCTCTCTAGGTGAGAGTGCTTAGTGTTGGTAATCTGCGTCGTTAGCGAGATTAGCCGGTTGTTAATAACTCTGTTCTTCTCTGCTTGATCTCTTGATTATTCGATTCCGTGATTAATGAGGATTAATTAAGTATTTATAGCCTTGAGAAGCGTGCAACTCTCTAGGTTTAAGGTAAACCTAGGGCTGATCGGGCCTCTAGACTGGATTGGGCCTTGGTGGCCGGTTTTCCCATTTGGCATGGGTGGACACGTGGCGTGTCTATAGTGGTCCGTAGAGGACGTATCTGTGACTGACACGTGGCAGGCTCCTGTTGTCCTTCGTGAAGGACACGTGGCGGAACCTGGTTGGTCCACTTGTCAGAAGGTGATTGGTGGATAAAAATCCCCTAATCATTTGCCCCTCACAGGTGGCACGTGACTGGTCACGGGTCGCCTGTGACAGGTGTCGCACGGTGACAGGCGACGGCCTGTTACAGGTGTCACCTTGCAAACGGCCGAGAGATTTTCCCGCCCAAATTTTGAATTTGGAAGCGACCCTTCGCCTTCTCACTTTGCCTATAAAAGGAAGTGCTGACTTCGGTCATTTTCACATTTGAGAACTTTGCGAGAACATTCGGACCCCTGAACTTGCTCTGACATTTCGGACCTTTTCTGCCTACCGCCTGTTCTGACAAGCCGACTGACCCGAACTTCCAGGACTTCATCAACCGTCACTCGTTCAGGTAACTCAGTTCTCTTACTCTTAATTTTCTTTTTATTTTTTGAAATGGCACCATGGAAGCACACGACACGCCCTAAGTTAGCGATCAGCCGGTCACCGGGGACGGCTGAATCTAGGACTAGGAGTGCCGCCTGCCCTTTTCTGGACCCATCTTTGCCCTTTATACAAAGTCCGACTGTATCTGTGTCTATGCAGAACGTGATGGCCAGAACAAAAAAGACTGCTATGATATCAAACTCAGACGGCTCCTCCCAAAGGGTGCTCTTTAGTGAAACATCTGACCAGGCGCCAGATGTAGAACGAGGCGACTGTCAAGCCGACAGTTCTGAGAGAGGGGCCAAGGTGTTCCCTTCCCATCTTACCGTGGACATGTCTAATTTTCCTTCTGCTCCTTCTAAGGGAGAGGAGGCGGGCCCCTCTAGGAGAGGGGAGGAGTCGTCTTCCTCGAACTCGTCAGAGGACGAGTCTGAGTCCAGTTCTTCTGGCCACAGTTCTCCTGGCTCAGAAGAAAAACATAGCCGCCTACAAGAGGCGAGACGTTCTCATGCAGTTGAGAAGGGGGGACAATTGGGCGGAGCCGTCCGCCTCTTACAGAGAGGAAAACGCCCCCTACTACTGCAGGGTACCCCGGGGCCGGATCGCAACCATGCAAGACAACGTGGCGAGCTTTATTGCTAACCACAAAATGGGCCCGGAATTTTTACTGTTCGTGCCGGATCCAGAAGACACTGTCGTCTGGCCGGCTGGTACCAGCTATGGTGACGGCTGCTTTGGCTGCTATGTGGCGGCCATCAAAGCTGGACTGCGCTTCCCATTACATCCGGCTGTTCAGCGGATTTTAGATGGGTATGATCTGGGGTTATGGCAGTTAGCCCCCAACTCTTGGGTAAACGTACTCGGCTATGTGGCCGGGTGCGAATTGAACGGGGTGGAGCCAAGCTTTGAGGCTTTCGCCCACATGAACTATCTCAGCCGGACCCCTAAGTCGGGAGGTACCGGCTGGTATCAATTAACAAGCCATAGGGGTTACCTCATGACGAGAGGTAAGGCAAACAAATGGAAGGATTGGCGGAACACCTTCCTTATTATCGAGGGTTCAGACACGGAGCTGAACAAACGCTTTAACAAGTGGAATAGGGATCCGCCTCTTCTCGCAGGCGGCCGCAGCATGCCGCCTGTTCCCCCAAAGGCTAAAAAAGAGATCCTAGACAAAGGACTCTTCAAAGTAGAGACTAGGGTGAACTCTACTTCAGGGGTACGAGAGCAAGTACCCCTAAACTGCGTCCCGAGCTTCAAGTGGCTCTATGACGAGTACTTTTTGGCCGCCTGTGGCCTCAGCAGTCGGTGCTCTAGAGGTAGCCGGCCTGACGAATACTCTGTTTTTTCACGCCTTGTTTACTTGGGATTTTTACTAACTTTGTTGCTTATTTCTTGCAGCTGACGCCATGAGTAAAATATCAGCATCTAAGACTGCGGCGGCCATGTTGCGGGTCTCGCTAATGAAACAGTCGTATGCCGACTCCCCCAACAAGGAGGCACCCTTGGTAAGCTTTGAAAACTCTTCCTCTTTTAGTTGTCTTATGCATATACTAACTCTTTTTGTTTTCAGTCTGGCACTCCAAGGGCTTCTTCCTCGCAACAGCCGGACCCCAAGGCCCGGAGGACGACTGTTGCAAGCTCTCCTGGGTCTTCCAGGAAAACAGTGGCGGCTGAGAAGCAGCCGGCCACTTCTTCAAAAACCCAGGCGGGGCCGCCTAGATGTATGGACACTCACTTGTAAAAACTCACCCTTGCTTCCTTCTTGATTAGGTCTAACTTGTTTTATCCTTTCGCTTAATGCAGCCGGCCCCCAAGGACTTGACTTGGTTGAGGTAGCCAAGTCTATGGTTAAAGTAGTTCCTCCATCTGACAGGGAGGCGGTCAGGGGTGCCGGCACCCTTGACCTTGATGGAATTTCAGGGGTCCTTGCTGAGGTATACTTAGTATATTTTTGAGCTTTTGAGTTCCAGGACGCCTGTTGACTTTTTTGATTGGAAACTGACGCCTGTTTTTCTTTGTACTTAGGCCCTGCTCCGAGTCAACAACCTTCGCAAGCCGATTGATCGGAAAAACAAAGAGGTAAAGGCCGCAAAGGCTATGGCCGCCTCCAGCTGTGATAAGGCAATGTTTCAAATTGCCCAAAATGAAGTACTGACCATTGATCTTCTTTATTATCAGGCGCAGGCTACCGCCGCTGTTCGGGCTCAGTTAGAGGCGGCCCAAAAGAAGGTTGACGAGCTGGAGGGGACCGTCACCAACCTTAAGGCCGAGCTGAAACCTCTTCGCCAAAAAATGCACTCTTACGAAGCCATGGAGAAATCTTTGGCCAACGTAAAAGAACGCCTGGTGAACCAAGAGAAGAGTCTTACCCAAGAGCTCTCGGATAAGGCCGAGCAAGAGAAACAAGAGCTCGTCCGGGAGATGGTGGAAGACTCCGCTCAAATCCAGCGCATGACCTGGGAACGACTGTTCCCCAGTGCCGACTTTGCCTCATGGGAAAGAACGTACCGCCAGTGTTCGGAAATATATAACCAACAGATCCTGGCGGCTGCTGAAGAAGAGGCGTTAGACGGTGCGTTGGAGGAGGAAGAGCTGGTTGTGGCGCTTGTGCCACTTGGGGGTAAGGCATCAAAAGAGGGTGCAGCTAAGGCCGAGTCCAGCAAGAAGAGTGCTGACCAGGCGGCAGCTGCTGATACTGAACTGCCCCCTTCTTAAGCTTTAAGTATTTTTTCTTTTCACGGCCTGCGTGCCGTTTGCTTTGTAATTACCCGGCCAGGGGGCCGGGGTTTTGAATATTCTGCTGGTCTTTAATGGCCGGCTCATTTTTAATCAAATTTTTGTTTTGGTTCAAATTTGTCTAAGTATTTTTAATTTGTTCCCTAGACCGACTGTTGTGTATGGCCGAACGTTAAGACAGGTACAAATAGTAAGTATGCCGCCTATGCCCCTGGACGACTGGTTGTCTGTTTCCAGGATAGATGATCAGTCGGCCATTTATTCAATCGGTATTCGAACTCTTTATTCAATTTGTCTGACCAAGTAAATAGAATTACCTAGTCGCCAAGGAATTAAGTAGGAAAACAAGCGGCGGGTACCGGTTGTTTCCCTTTATTGCCAATGTTGGCTTTTAACTCGTAATTTGTTAACCTAGCAAGAGTATTGGTTGAGAGCCTTTGTTTATTAAAAACAAGTGGACGACTCATACCTTTTAGGCTCCATACTAAGTTTGAGTGACTATTAACTTAGGAGTTACTTAGTCTTTGTCGCAATTTAGATTGAGTAGTAGAGGTACCAGACGGCGTAGGCCGGCTAGACCCCTTGATTCGCCAATGTTTGTTGGCTATTAACTCAGTAGGTTATCCAGTAGGAATAGGGGTTCGAGTGCCCTTGTTTGTTTAAAACAGGCGGACGACTCAAACTTTTTAGATTCCATACCAAATTTGAAGGAGTGACTATGAGTTAACTTTGGAGTTACTCAGTCGCCGTCACTTTTGTTTGAGAAGTAGAGGTACCAGGCGGCGTAGGCCAGCTAGACCCCTTGATTCGCCAATGTTTGTTGGCTATTAACTCAATAGGTACCCCCTGCATTTATCCCAAGTAATACAGGCGGTCATCTGACTCAGATGTCAACTGCTACCACTGGTTTGGTTAGTGATAGAGTTATCCTTGTCTCAAAAACGGCTACGTGGTTGTCCTTGGGGACAGTCGTATAGGTGCCGTGTAATTAGTTTATAGAACAATGTTCCACCCAAAAGGGAGCTGCT